AAAATTGCAAAAATCGCAGCGGGGATTTGAACCCGCATCATCTGGTTGATTTTCAAACGCTTAACCGACTGCGCTATGGTTTCTGGGTATGAACGTATTTTTTAGGGCGTGCAAATGATGTAAAAAATGTCGAAAGTGGACTAGAAAATACTCTTTTTAGTGTGTAGAAATTATGAAAAATGCCGGAAACAGATTTAATAATTTTTCCTAAGTTATATGAACAATGTCGCAAATAGATTAGATAAATTTTTTAATAAACTACAAAACTACAAAAATATAAGAACTTTTCACTCTTAACTATCTCCGCACTCTAAATAGCCCAATTTTTTGCTGACTCTCTAGTTTTCCCCCACTTTCCGCCTCTATCAATCCTTTTCCCCCTTTTTTGTGCTCACAAAAAATATTGAATCCCCTTTTCGATGTGGCGGTCTTATCTTTTACCGGCCGGCAAATAGAAAATCACCAAAACGAGAGAAACGAATCCCCCGCTCGCGAAAATACAATTCGAAACCCCCGATAAAAATAATATAAAAATTGTGCGCACACAAAAAACCCCGTATTTTTACTTGGTCTACTCGCGGGCCACTTAAAATTCTAAATTTTCTATTTTCCGGCGCGGTGCGCCCTATTGAAAACCCGGGACGCGGCCTTTTCCGGAAAGGAAAAGGGCCCGCCGAATTTTCTCATACTTTTCTATTTCCCATTCCATTAATCTTTGAGTAGCGCTGCCCCCCTGGAGACCTTTTTGGAAATTTTTCGGTTTTCGGGGGGCCCGCTTTACCCTCCATCCTGCCGCGCCGACAGCGCAAAATTCTGAATACGCAATTTTTCGCGGACCAATTTTTGTTTGGGCCGATTTTTAGAGGAATTTCATTTTTCCGAGCGTTTAAAGGGATGGAAAGGCTAAAATATAAATTTTTGGCTATGGATTTTCGGAAGAAATTTTGAAAACCGTGATCAAGGAAACACAAAAATCCCGACAGCCAAAATGCCGACAGCTAAAATTCTGGACGGGATTACTTTTTGTCATGTCGTGATTTTGATTTATCGGCATTTCGGTTGACGGGCTTCGACTTGTCGGTATTCTCGCTTGTCGGCATTTTGGCTTGTCGGGATTTAGGATTATCGGCATTCCGGCTTCGGGATTTTAACTTATCGGGCTTTGCTTTGTCGGCATTTCGGCTGTCGGCATTTTGGCTTGTCCATTACGCTTCCCGAAGCACTGCCTTGCCCGTCCCTATAAAAATCGTGCCTCCCAAAACTATGCAAAACTACAAAATCCATATTTTCCGTAAATATTTTCGCCTCCCCCCGGACTGCCCATCCACAAATTTTAATCGCTCGAATTTGGGGCATTCGCCGCGGGTTTATATTTTTATCAGGCTTTTGCGTTGTGTGGCTGTGTATGTTTGTCAGTCAGTGTGTCTGTTCACCTGCTGAATTCTCCATTTTCCACACATTTTATTATCTCTAATCGCTTTTGCTCGGCCGCCATGGACCCCCCCATGGTTGCCCGAAAACGGTTTATATTTTTGCTGCACATACACACGCAAACCCACACGGTATTTGGCGACTTTGCTTTTTGGTTTTAGCGGCGCGGTTTTGCCACACTGCGAATTTCCCATATCGATTTACATACACGTTTTATGACGTTTTCCAAAAATGCAGTAAAATCGGAATTTGCACCGCTTTTTACGAGCTGACTTGACTTTACAACTCTAGATATTGATCTTGGTTTTTCTGGATTTTTATTATCCGCCCGGACTTGCCTGTTAATCATATATAACGTATTTTTATAATTAGTTTTCGAATTTTGCCAGAGAGTGATAGATATTTAGGCTTTTGAAAAAATGAAAATTTTGAGCATTTTTCAGAATTTTTGACCATTTTCGTGGCCGGGTCGATAACTGAAAACTGTATAAAATGCTATAAAATGTCCTATGTTTTTTTTTATTGATAGGGATATACAGGATTAACAAGAGAAAAATTGTCTTCCCCCCCCCCCGCTAACAGCCCAGTGCCAAGCGACTACGGTCTTACGAAATTATTTTATAGAATAACAAAAGCGTTTTCTGGGCCCAAATTTTTGCTTTCCGTTCTGCTAATAAAGATAGAAGCCCTTGGCTGCCCCTCATATATATTTTTGAGTCATTGCCCTGATTCATCGGCCCTCAGCATCTCCTATTTTCGCGGTTACCAATTTTTATTATTTTTCAAAAGCGTGTTTTCGCAAATTTTTCGATTTTTTTTTGTATAGGATTTTCGAGCCTTTAAAGGCTAAATCTAACGCTTAAAGTATCAAACCTAAATCAGCCCTTCTCTATCTGATCCCCTCCTCTCCTTCTTTCTTTTTTTTTTTCAAAAAACCCCTCCAGGGCCCACAAAATGGGGGCATGGAGGCGAAAAAAGAAATGAAATTCAATTTTCCTTTCGCCAAAAGCCTGCGCCCCTGCTGCTCCAGAGCGGCCGCCTATTTTGCTGGCCCCCGAAGCACGGGGCTATACACTCAAAAAAAGAAATAAATTTGCCCCGAGGAGCTCTTCTGCGAAATTGCCCACCACCCTTTGCGTGTACACACCCGCCTTTTTGCGGTTTTTAGCAAAAATTGACGCTATTTATAGGTGCTACTTTTCCTAACAGCTAGAATTTCGCTTTAAAAATTTGGTTTGGATTGCTTTAAAGTCTTCCTTTGTCTGCAATAAAAATGTAGCTTTAAAAATGCGATTTCGATTATTTTTAATGATGCTGGCGTCTTTTTAAGGTTGTTATCTTGTCATAAGAATTGCGTTAGGCTTTAAAAATGCGATTTCGATTATTTTTAATGATGCTGGCGTCTTTTTAAGGTTGTTATCTTGTCATAAGAATTGCGTTAGGCTTTAAAAATGTGTTTTTTAATTTTTTTGAAGAATAGCTGTTTTTTAGCTTCCCCTTCCTTTCTGAAATAAAATCTGTCCTTAAAATCAAACTTTTCATTTTTTGGGGCTTACCTTATTTTCTAAAATGAAGATATTTGTGTTTTAGCAATTATATTTAATCATTTTTGTGATTTCCAGATTCCCCCTCCAATGGATGACGAACAGATGGAGAGCGGCTCGGCCCACAGCTTCAACGAGAACGGCGACCCGCAGGAGAACGGCGAGCCCAGCCAGGTAAATCAGCGTTTTTTGTAGTTTATAGCCCGTTTTTAGATTATGGACTTTGAAGCCTCGACGACATCCAGCATCCAGGATCAGCTGAACGACATCAGCCGCCAGTGCACTTTCCTCTCGCATCAGGTATCGATTTTTTTCATTTAATGATGTGTATTCTTTAGATGAGCGTCATCCTGAACACGATGAATGTCCGACCTTGTTTATGTCCGCCCTGCGAGACGCACATCAAGGGGATGAAGCACGACAAGTGGGCGGCTAGGGTGAGTCCCGAGATCTGTAGATTGTAATATAAGAAGTTTAATAGATTTTTACAAATAGATATTTTCATGAATTTTAGTTTTTGTAATAACTAATTTTTATTAAACACATTTTATTAAATCTTTCTAGGCCCAGCAGATCCTCCAGCACCAGCAACAGTCCCAGCATGGCTCAATGCCCCCGCGGATCAGCATGCGGCCCCCGAATCTCCCCTACGGCATGCCCAATCTCACCCCGAACACCTCGCACCACCCGCAGACGCCCAACACGCCGCGCACGCCCAATGAGGACAAGGTGAGGGTTTTTAGGCTTAACTTCAATAGAGAAAATCGATTGTTTTTTAGAGGATTTTACGCCATTTCTAAGGAGATTAAACGTCAAAAATTTACCATTTATGCCGCAAAATGGTGAAAAAAAATCGGATTTTTTGAATCTGAAATTTTTTAACGCTTTCGGACGTATGGAAACCAATTAAAAACGCTACAAAATGTTTCTCTTATTACCAGACTTTTGTAGATTACATAAACGTTTTTAAAATGTTGTCTCGTAACAGTTTAGAAAATTCCAAAATTGATTAAATATTTTTCATATTAAGTATAGAATAATAATAATATTTAGTAATTAAGGAATTAATCCTAGAATCATTGTTCCGGGCTAATTCCAGCTTTTTTTCAGAACAGCCTCCCCGAATCCGAGGTGCAATTCATCCAACAGCTGATGGCCCAGGACACCCAGTCCTCCCAGCCAGGCCGCCGCTCCAAGTATTGCACCAGCGAGGAAAAGAAGCAGGTCGCCGCCTACGCCCAGATGCACGGCGCTGCCGCCGCCGCCCGCCATTTCAACATCCCGGCCCCGGTGGCCGCCTACTATCAGCGCAAGCACTCCCAGCGTGCCCAACAGGGTGTGTCCTCGCTTTTTGGTGACTTTTTTGAAGCTAAGCGTCACCTTTTTACGCATTTTTGTAATATAACATTGTAAATCTCTTTTTTTAGCCCAGCAGCAAGCCATCATGGCCGCCGCGGCCGCCGGTCTACCCGGCATGTTCCTCGGCGGGCCCCCGATGCTCACCCCAACGACTCCAACGGGTCGCGACGAGCCGGCCACTCCGACACACACCCCGTCTACCCCATCGACGCCTCAGCCAAATGGGGAGATGGTCAGTGATTTTTTGAATAGTTTTGTATTATGCAAATTAGGTTTCCTGTCATAATGTATTTTTTTCGGAATGTCGAAATTTCATAATTTCGGGTTTCTTGATGTCGAAATCCATAGTGTCGACGTTTTTGCATAGTATTTGGTTTGTTCATGTAAATATCGGGGGTTACTTTCAAAATGTCGAAATTCATAATGCGGAAATCTCATAATGTCGGGATTCAGAATGCCGAAATTTACATAACCGAATTTCCCGAAAAATAGCTCAAATCCTATGCTAAATTTCGGCATTATGAAGTTTTTGAGGTGAATTGCTGATGCATTAAAGGCGCTATTTGTTCACATTATTTTACAATTTAAAATCTCTATTTCCAGGCTTTCAAGATGAACGGGATGCCCGGCATGCAGTCCGGCCTCTCCACACCTGGTGGCAATCAGATGTTCGTCCGGGGCCGTGGTCGAGGCAGGCCGAAGCTGATCGGCGACGAGCTCGACATGCACCTCGTCGAATATATGGTTCAGGTAACTTTTTGGGATTAGCGCTACGTGTCGAAATTTGAAAATTATTATCACTAAATGCCTATTTCACTAGGTTTGGAAAATTCGGTCAAAATGAGAAGATAAATTTTGTCGATATTTTCGGTGTTTCGACAAAATTAAAATTTCGGCATTTTCATTTTCGGCAAATTTTTAGGATTGAAACCGCCCAAGTAATCGACTATTTTTCAGTACAAAAAAGCCGACGTTGGCCAGCACCTGACGGCGTCGCGTGCTCTCGACATTGCCCGTGACTACATCGTCGCCAAGGCGCCCGGCTTGCTCGAGGAGCATGGTGGACAGGTTCGAATTTTTTTGTAAAATTTTTTTGTTTTCTAATTTGTATTTTTAATCTCTAATTTACAAATTCCTGTTTCCAGATCAAGCTCAAAATCACGTGGGCCATGAAGCTGGTGCAGCGAGTGGCGGAACGGGAGCGCGAGATCGAGCTCGGCCTCCCACCGGGCACCCTGCAGAATTTGGGCCGTATGGTGCAGCACTTGCCGCAGAATGTAAGCAGTTTTTTTGCTTGATAGTTTTTTGTATTTTTATCATTTTTATAAATTTTTTAGGGCCAAAACGGTCAGCCCTCCCAGCCGGGCAGCCAGCCGTCCACCCCGCAGACCGCCTCTTCTCAGGCTCCCGTCGATTTCGAGGCCCTCTTCCAGGCTTTTGCCCAGAGCGCTGCCCAGCAGAATAACATGCCCAGTAAGCGTTTTTACTAGCTTTTTATGGCAAAATAGTTTTTGTTTTAATTTTCGACTTCCAGGTGTCTTTAAAGTTTAAACCAGCTTTTTTTTCAGCCAACGAGAACGCCGTCACGCCCGAAATTATCAAGGGCCAAGAGATTGACCTGGTCGCTCTGTTGGGACTTTGCCAAGAAGCTGGGGCCACGGAGGGCCAATGCGAGGGCGAGGAGGAAGATGGCGACAATGACGAGAAGGAGGTCGAGGTGAGCAAAAATTCTTGTTAAATTTAATTCCATAAAACTGCGCTTTTTTGAGAGTGCTGACATTTTTGCGACATTTACCTCATGATCGACTTTTTGGAATTTCGCCATTCTTTGTTTGCGAAATATAAAACTTCCAAATTCAGCTTGAACAGCTTGAAAATGTGCCCTTTTTACCGTACCCTCTTCCAGAGCGCACCCTCCATCTCACCGCAAAGCGCCGAGGAGCCGCTGGAGAACGGCGAGCAGCAGCCGCCCCCCTCCCAGTCCAACTCGCACCAGAACTTCATCTACGCTTCGTGAACGCGCTGAACTCCGCGAAGACGTCGTCCACCACCAATATTCCACGCCCATTGTTCTCGAAATCTCGCGCAACCCATTGCAATAAACCCGCTCTATATATTCCCCCCATTGAATATGCCTCGTTGTCGAACTCCTCCTCCTCCCCGCCGCCGTTGCTCAACACCCCCCATATTATGGAGCTAATTTTCGTCATTTCTCCTTTTTCTCGCCCGCATTTCTGTCACACGCATCGGCGATTTCTTTTTGAGACATAGATTTCCATTCCCACCCAACTACCTATACCGTAATCGTAGCTTTAGGCGACAGTATTGCTATGGAACGTTCCGCGTTGGTCGGTCCCGGGGATTCCGTCACTTTACTCTGTACGATCGGCGTCGCTTTACGGGATAGTAGCGTACCGGAATTCTGCGTCCTCCAAATTTGGGACGGCGGTTCCGAGACCTTACTAGTTACGATCGGCTACTTTTTACGGCGATACTACGGTATCGGAATCCCGGACGCCGTAGACCAACAATTTCAAAAATCGATCACGTGCTCAGCCCCCCAGAATTGTGACCCTGATGCAAAATTCGTGTTCTTTTGTGCGCAATGTCCCCTCAACTGTGACTTTTCCGCGCTCGAAATACCGTAGCTCTCGAGCGTTAAAGGGATCGGCAAGGCAAAACTATGGATATAACGCCACGCTTCTATGGCGTAATCGATTACGCAAGCTTTTTAACGGAAAAACGACAGGCGCGTTGCTTATCGCGGTCTTCACAAAACCACTTGCCTTGCCAGTTCCTTTAGAGGGTGGTTTCTTAAACTTTATTTAATGTACTCCCCACCTCTGCCTATCCCAATCACTGTGACAACCCCATCGAGATCATATATCTGTACCCTACTATCTATTAATGTGTCCACCGTTCGTTGTTTGTTGTATTTCGTCCAGTGTCATTCGTACTCTCCTCTCAATACACCCACACACCATCCATTCGTCATACCCAGCTCTTCCGGCGCGTTATGAAATCAATTATTCCCCTTTTTCTTCGATTTCTGACCCTTCGTGTACCCACCCTCCTTGGAGATACCGTCGTACCCTACTACTGCTACTACCACTTCTACTACAGGGTGGGCAAAAAAAAAAGATCCGAGTTTGGGTCAAAATATCTCGCGAACGGTAGAGAATCGAAGGTACGTTACCATGCCAGAATGCTTAAATATGCTGGGTATGAAGATTTAACACAACTTGATTTTTTCGATTTTTGAGTACGAAACTGTACTATTGACGCTGGTTACGACCGAAAATTGTGCGTTCTTGAACGGGTGGTGGGAAAATTCTGATTTTTGGCCTAAAAATAGTATAAATTTGTAGAAATGTAATGGCAAAATCTTAGAATTTTTCGAGGCCTATTCGATTTTCTAAAAACAAAACAATTTTAGCGTTTTTTCGCTATTTTTATTCTTTGAGTCATAACTCACTTCTAACTCACTGCCCATGGCTGCTTTTTTGCCAATGAATTATCAAAATAATAATCTAGGATCCCACACCAGAACCCAACATAATCTATGGTATTTTTGTATTGCTTGCTAAAACGTGCCCCAGCGGGGTACTGTAGGTTTAGTTTTTGTCGCTTTTCTCGGCCGCCCTAGCTTCAATCCGACTGAAATTTTCAGGGTGGTTAGGGAATCGGTTGTGGCACATTGCTGCCGAATACGAGAACGTACTATCCACAAACGTTCGGGAAAAAGACCAAAAACTGATTTTCAAGTTCTGCCACAGAATTTTGTAAATTTTTTGGTCAATTGGTCCAAAAACTGCTACTATTGGTTTTACCAAAAGATCGAAACAATTCCATGGCAAAAACACCACGAAAACCGCAAATTTCGGTTTTCTACCGTAACCCCGGTGGAGCGCTTTTTAGCATGCCATCACAAAATTCCATAAACTGACGATTTTTCAATTCGAGGGCCTTCTAGAGGTGGTTGTAAGATAGCTGGTCAAAAATTACTGATTTTTGGTGGTAAATAACAAAGTTACGAGGCAAAGTGAAAAACAAGGCCAGAGAGCCGATTTTGGGTCCGAGTAGCCGGGTCAATTTTCGAATTTTAAAAATAAAAAAAGCCACCTAAGTCTTCTGGATACGATTATAGCTTTGATGTTATTATTTACGCCTGTCAAATTCCGGAGCATCTGATTCAAAATTATGGTGACTTTCAGCTCAAAATCGAAGAAGACCCTATTCCAAAATCGAAGTTTAGAAATCTTCTTAAAATTTTTGCGACGTGAAATTCCTTTATTGCTTTGCATAGTTTTATTCAACTGATGGTACTGACTTATTGCTCAAAATATCTCTACGACTCCACCTTCCAAAATTTTTTTACGCATGCTCGAATTCGGTTTATTTCGGGTTTTGATGAATTTTCTTGGCGCCAACGGCTGGTCAAATAAATTCAAGAACCTGGCTTTAGGATGCGCTATTCAAATAATATCAGATAAATTAAAATGACAATTTTCATAGCGCTGTTAAAATTTATAAATTGTTAGCGAGTTTTGGAAAAAAGCACGAACCAACCGTTTTGGAGGCCCTAAAAGACGCCCTTCCAAAGAGGTACGGTAGCTCGGAATTTTGTAGATGATTGATAAACCCCAGTACTACATAGCTAACCAAAAAAAATAGCTGAGTCCCCTTTGGCAATTTAGAAATATTTTTCCAAAGTCCGGTTTCGAGACCTCGAAAAATCCATGACCCGGGGGTCGTTGAAAAACTCGAAAATTCATCGATCTCGAAAATTTTTTAAGTGCATTTAAGCGGTTGTATAGGGTCCGTAGTTATTCTACAACAACTTATTCTGATGTTTTGGCCATAGGTTTTTGTAATTTTCGAAATTTACGAAATTTCCCCATACAAAATTTCATTCCTCTATAACTTTTCAACCAGACCCTCAAAAATTCTTAAATTTTGTAGGTGCATATCTACTACCTATCTTAACTTAAATAGAAAAAATTAGAACCCAGCCACCACAGGAAACTGAGAAAAATGCAAATGAAGTTCCCCCGAACGCACAGTTTTCGGGTGTCATTTGTATTGATACGTCGCCAAAAATCGAAAAAATCAAGTTGTGTTAAATCTTCATACCCAGCATATTTAAGCATTCTGGCATGGTAACGCACCTTCGATTCTCAACCGTTCGCGAGTTATTCTGCCCCAAACTCGGATCTTTTTTTTTTGCCCACCCTGTATGGGAGGGCACTGATCTTGGTGCTGCCCCTTCCCCATCTTTACCGTTTGTGTCATTTAATTATATACCGTGTTTTGATACTTATAAATGTTAATTCAAAGCTATGGAATTTACACAATGATTTTATACACTTTATATCGCGATTTAGCAGGTTTTCAACACGAATTTTTTGATTTATCAACTCATCACCCAGTCCAATTTTTAGCATTTCGACAGCTACACCACGCTCCGCCGCGCACAATCCCAAAAATGCGCCCTTAATGTGCGCTTTCGGCGTTTTTGCCCAGACCCCCAGCAACCCTAGGGACCGCGCTTCGGAAAACTGCCCCTCCTCGTTTTTCGGTTTTTCGGAGCCACTGAGCACCCCGCACGACATTTCGTATGTCTCTAATTTGATCTGTTGTTTTTTGGTCCATCAATGTGAAGTGAGGGGCAGCACGAATTTATTGCTCATCGCAGCGGATTCTGCCAGCCATAGAGGGGACTGGATTTTGATGCGGCATGCCTTTGAGGATGGCGAGAGAGAGAGAGAGAGAGAGAGGGAGAGAGAGAGAGAGAGAGAGAGAGAGAGAGAGAGGGGGAGAGAGAGAGAGAAAGCGAGAGAGGGTAGGAGGGAGAGACAAAAATTCCAGCAGCTGGATGTTCGATCCTTAGATTTTTAAAGTGAGCGTGACAGCGGGGCTTGGTCAATCCGTTGCTCCTCCTTTATCTTGCTCTCTCTCTCGCTCTCTCTCGCTCTCTCTCCCTCTCGCATTCACGATCTCTCTCACTTCTCTCAGGCATTCACGCTCTCTCCCTCTCTCTCTTTCTCTCACTCTCTCTCTCATTCTCTCTCTCTCAAGCATTCACGCTCTCTCTCCTACTCTCTCTCGCTCTCTCGCTCTCACTATCTCTCTCCGCCGCTCCCCCGCTTTCTCTCTAACTTAGCCTTTTGGCTACGGTAGCGTACATTTTTCCGGATATTGAAAAAATTGGACTATGCCGTTTGTGCAATTTTAAGGGGACCGTGAAGTGGAAATCTATCTTGCATTCGATTTGGCTGAGCTCAAAAAAGTCGACCATCCGCGATTTACAGCCATGACAATCCCCTTAAGATACGGTAAGCGACGATTTGTCTGTCCATATTTAGTGGAAGCCGTCTCCTTTCACCCGGATCAAATTGCCTTTCACCGTTTTCTCGGCTTTTCCAGGCTTTTCCCCTTCCTGCATCCGGTCTCCCCTAAAGGGGGTTCCATTTTTTCGAAAAGGCTCCCCCTCTCTCGCCGCTTTCTAATCATGACTCAAACCGGCAAGGGGCAAAGATCCGGAAAACTGGAATTGAGATCGAAAATTGTATATCCATTTCAGGGCGGGGGGGGGGGGAGGCGTGCTCGCGCCGAGGGGCGATTTCCGAACCCGACATGCTCTCAGGCTATATAACAACCCCCCCATGAACGCCTGGCAGGCTGCCCGTGGTCCTTTAAAGGGATCGGCAAGGCTCAGCTAATACTATTGTGAGCATTTTCCTTCTTCGCCTGTTTGACATTGATGCTTAAGCTTGGAGCTGACTTAGGTTTAGTTCCAGGTTTGGCTTAGGCGTAGGCTTAGGCCGCCGTTTAGGCGTAGGTTTAGGCTTAGACTTGGGCCTAGGTTTAGGCCTAGGCTTGACTCAGGTTAAGCTTACGCTTAGGTTGCGCTGTGGCTTGACTTGGGCCTAGGCTTAGGCTTGGCTTAGGCTACGCCGAGTTTTGACTTCGGGTTCGGCTTGGGCTTTGGCTTGACTTAGGCTTAGGCTTAAGCTTAGGTCACGCTGAGGCTTGACTAGGCCCAGGCTTTGGCTTAGGATTAAGCTTAGGTTTTGTTAAACTTAGGACAAGGTTTCGGCTCAGGCTTAGGCTTAGACTCTGCCGGCTGCTGCCCTTACACTCGCCTTCTTCCAGATTTCTAGCGCATTTTTGGCTAAAAATTGACTCCGGCTACAGTAACCAGTTAGAATCTAGTCCAATTTCGCTTCTAACTTTCTTTAAATCGCTTTAACCGCAGAAAGTGCATTTGCCCCAGAGGCGTCTAGCCGTCTAGGAAAAGCCAGACCTACCACCGCCTTCCCCCAGGCTCATAAATCTTCGCGCGACGCGCAGATCCGGGGCGCAGCATCCCGTACATTGGAGCCTGTCGGAACCGTGGGGTATCCCTGCCTTTCGGCAGTATTTTACCGTCTTTTCAGTTTCCGGGGTATCTGATTTTTTTCCTCTTCAGGTTTGAGTCGCTGGCCGCTGTATTTTTTCATTGCTTGATCCTATTTTCAGCCGTATTCCCCTACAGTACCCTCTTACAGTATGGGCACCACGTCGGCCCCATGGGTGGCGCTTTGCGCTTCGAGCGCCACACTGCTTGTTTGTCTGCTTGCCGCAGCCTCGCTGTACTCCTCGGTGACGGATATTTGGAGCGAGCTGGATGCCGAGATTCTGAACTTTAGGGTAAGTTACTGGATATTAGATAGTTAGAGAGAGAGCGAGACAGAGAGAGAGCGAGAGAGGGTAAGAACGAGAGAGAGAGAGAGAGAGAGAGCGAGAGCAAGAGGGCGCGAAAACCAAGTAAAACCTCGATTTCCAGACGATCACCGACGATATGTGGCACGATATGGTGATCCTGGGAGCGGGTACCCCGTCTACCCGCCATACTCGTCAAGCTTACGGAGGGTAGGGCTCGATTTCCATCCGGTCATGCTGCCCCTAATTTTCCAGCTATGGAGCCGCCGGAAACCAATCTCCTCCTCCCACTCAGGTCTTCCCCGCCTCGAACCCGTCGTTTAGTGAGTTTTCACCAGATCTTTTTCGATTACGGCATGAAATCAATTGGGGCTTTTCGAATCTATGCTGAGATAAGCTCAGCTTTCCGATTACGACATTTAATGCGCTGATGATATCCGATTACGACATGAATTTATCTATTTTTTTTTGCTTAGACCAACGATGCCAATGCACCACCGAGAACTCTTGCCCTCCCGGCCCGCTAGGACCCGTTGGAGACCAGGGACCCGATGCCCCAGATGGATTGCCAGGAATTGATGGAAAGGATGGGTACGATTTAAAGGGATTGGCAAGCGTCGAAGGGTAGGCTAGCAGAGATCATTGAGGAAGGGGCGGGCACACTAGCAGTGATTATTGAGGAATGGAGGGCAGGTTCCAATTGCTCGGTCTGGAAACGAGGGTAGGCTAGCGGGGATCATTGAGAAAACGCGGGCAGACTAGCAGAGATTATTTAGGAAGCGAGGGCAGGCTAGCAGAAAACATTGAGGAAACTTCAAACTGAAACCTACAAAATTCAAACCACAATTTTTAGCCAAGACGCCCAGGACCGCGAGCAGCGCGAATCCACCGGATGCTTCAACTGCCCCCAGGGCCCACCCGGCCCACCCGGTTCAACCGGTCACCCCGGTATGCGCGGAATGCGCGGAGCAAAGGGCAGATCCGGACACCCGGGTCGAGACGGAAACCCCGGAATGCCGGGCGATATGGGCCCACCTGGGCCACCAGGGAAGGATGGGGCCCATGGGGATGCCGGAACGCCTGGTGATGATGCGGAGAGCCCGGTGCCGCAGAAGGTGTGTAAACAAAGAGTTTTGCTTAGCTTGAAAACAGCTTATTTTCATGATGATTTCTCAGAAATTAGATTTGTATCCCTCTCCGTTATCCCCCCCCATTAAGCAACATTTATCAAATTCTCAGACAAAGATTTCTTAAAATTTCGTAGTGATTACTCGATACTTTCTAGGGACCCCGTGGACCTCCTGGAGATGGCGGAGATATTGGACAACCTGGCCTCCCCGGTCGTGATGCTCAGCAAGGGTCCCCTGGTCCGAAGGGAGAACCCGGACAACCCGGATGGACCGGAGCTGCTGGAGCGGATGGAGATGAGGGATACCCTGGATCAACCGGAAACCCAGGAAAAGATGCTCAGGTAAAGAACGGTGGCTCAGCTTGGCTTAGGCTTAGGCTTAACTTAGGTTTAGACTTAGCTTCGGCTTCGGCTTACCTTAAGCTGTAAGCTACTTTATGCTTCTTTTTCAGTACTGTAAATGCCCGGCTCGTCGCGAGGGCGGAGAGTACGCCGGATTCCACCGTCGCTTCCGGAAGTACCACTAGATTCGGGCGTTTCTATGAAGATAAATATTTTTTTACAAAATGCAGATAACGACAAATAAAAAAACATATGAACAAAAAATCGCGAACCTTCTTCAGATGAAGCTAGCTTATTTCGGCTTACGCTTAACTAGGGAGGTATCTGAACTCGGCATCGAACTTTGAAAAGCCAGATACACCATTCGACGCGCCTTGTCGAGGGGATTCCAAATATGTAATAAAATCAACCAGAGCGTATAACCGTAAAAAGTTATGAGCATTTTAAATCGACAAAATGGTGAAAAACAGTATCTTTGAGACCCTGTATCAACCCGCGGGTAGGAATTTAGTCTAAACTGATTAGTGCTCTTTATTCAACAAAGAAAGCTCTTTCAAGTTAGCTATATTACATACGACTGCCAAAAATTTCCGGAAAAAATATTTTTGGAATGCAGCGTAAGGGTAGGGTATGGCCAGCTTGCCGAAGGCGTTTCGAGAATTTCGCGTAAAGCCTATGTAAGATAGCTCATTCGAAAGAGAATTTTCTGCTGATCAAGATGTACTGTTCTATTCTCGACAAATTACATTCTTCGAATTCGTACAGAGTCTTAAAAGGGCGGTTTTTGATGATTTTGCCAACATTTGCACACAGTCAAGAAAAACTTATTCCCGAGTTTGGAAATGCAAAAAGTAGGAACTGGTCAAAAAGCAAAAATAAAAATCGATAGTGGATCCGAACCCTGGTCGTACAGACCGGAGACCCATGCGCACACCACTAGGCCACGGGGCCGATGAACAGGGTGGACTGGGAGGGGCTCATATCGCCGCGGCGGTTTCCGCTGCAAAACTTAAAATGCTCATAACTTTTTATCGTTATAGGCTCTGGTTGATTTTATTACATATTTGGAATCCCCTCGACAAGGCGCGTCGAATGGTGTATCTGACTTTTCAAAGTTCGATGTCGAGTTCAGATACCTCCCTAGTAAGTTCAGGATTCTCGCGTTCCCATGCCTTCCTTGAGATTTTAAGAAGCCAGCCAGAGACGCGATTTGCATTATAACAGCCCACCCGGGAATTGTAATTTGACAGCCGTGCCGAACGCGCGGGTGCGAATGCCCTACCCTAGTCACAACTGGTGTCGATGGATGTGCTTGGGTCCCCAAAGGGTCTTTGCTAGCTAGCCCTCGCTTCAAAAGCCTATAAAAGCGCAGCTAGCCAACCTTGGCACTGGGATTCCTCAAAGATCTCTGCTCGCATGCCCTTGAGTTCTAGTTCTCAAAGAATCTTTGCTAGCACGCCTTTCCCCAAGCTTCATCCAAAAGCCTGAGCTGCTGCCTAACCTGCCAAAAAACTGAGTTCCGAAAGGATCCCTGCTAGCCACCCTCAATTACAACCTCCCAAAAACCTCTGCTAGCCTGCCTCCAGCTGCAACCCAGTAAATCTGTAAATCGGTTGGCATTTATTGCCCTCCCTCGCTAGAATGTGCCCCGAGGGCATTTTCAGTTGGAGTCAGTCGGGTGCCCCGCTGGCTGTTACAGCCGAAACGAGGGAGAGAGAGAGAGACTATCTCTCTCCCTCTCTCTTCTTTGAGCACCGCCTACACAACACAACACAAGCCGATCGCTGGGCGCTGAGCAACAGGGCCCACCCGGCGAGCTTGAGCCGACCCCCCGGGCTCTGAATATTGATTTGATTGCCTATCGATTGCAGTTTATCTCGAATTATCTCGTGTGGGCTTATTTTCTATTCATCGCTCATGCTCAAACCCGAGCTTTTTCTCTGTCTCTCACTCTCTCGCGTTAGCTCTTCTCACTGCTATCTCCCTCTCTCTCGCTCTCTCTCTCGCTCTCTCTCTCTCTCTAGCTCTTCTCAGCCTCGTAAAACAGAAAAATTTACAGAGAATTACATGGTGTGTACGTTTATAACTATGTTTTTTTTAAAGGGAAGTGACAGCCAGATTCTGTCCTCATCCTTTTAAGCTATTGGCTTATCCCCACGAAAACGAGGTTTATTCATAAAAAACCCCAATGCTTCGATTTTCATTTTTCCGTTTCTTTCCGTTTCCCAGGCTCCCGCTGGGTGTAATGTTTCGGAATTTCGACGGGAGAATCTGGTGAATCAGTGATTCGGGTGATTTTATCGGATTTTTGGAATTCTGTCTCTCTCTTTCTCTCTCTCTCTCTCTCTCTCTCTCTCTCTCCATTTCCTGAATTCCCCAGCAGTCAAATAGTGAGAAATGTGTGCCCTTCTCCGTCAGCCCCCTCTTTTCTTTTCCCAAAAGTGGGCCCTAACATGGCCCTTAGAGTAGGAGAGGGAGAGAGACCAGAGAGAGCCAGAGAGAGAGAGAGAACGAGGCGAGCAAAATTTATGAAAAACGTGCCCAGCTGGGCCCCATTTTTGGTTGTCTAGTACGAGGCAATACCCCCAACAAGGCGCAGCTGGCACAAATTCAACGCTCTACGCAAATTTCTGTACTATTTGGGGCTCCAAGATGAGGATCGATTATTCGGGGCGTTCGACCAGGCTACGGGGAATAGAAGCTATCGATTTTTATCAAAGGTAGTTCTTACAGCGCTGATTTTATTTTATTGGAGGTGTATTCTCTGAATTTTGATTTTTTTAGCTATAGCATGACTTTTGCGTGTTTATTTGAATTCATGATATGATATTCGAGACTTAAAAGAAGCACTTGCACTCTCTCGCTGTCGTTTTATCCTCTCTTACGCTCTTGCTCTCTAGCACTCTCCCTCTCTCCCCTCTCCCCCTCTCTCTCTCTCTCTCTCTCTGTCTTTCTCTTTTCCTTACCTCGTTAACTCCTTTAAAACTTCTGCAGGCCTGCCCTGCTCAAACATGCTGAAAATTGAGTGTTGTGGACTTCTGTGCCAATTCCGGACCATTTCCGGTTAGGGATCAGCTTCCGGATCAGGTCCGTCTCGGATTCCGCCGTAATCTGGGCGGAATCCGGACGTAATACGAAAAAAAATCACAAAGTAACTCTGTTATATGCTCGCTTTTCGTAAATTTATGTTAAACTTACGATTGGCTTAGGCTTGACTTAGGCTTGGCCTAAGTTTAGGCTTATGCGTAGGCTTAGCCTTAGGCTTGAACTAAGCTACCTTTATTACCAACTCCATTTCAACGGCTTGTAATTTCGGGCGCGGTAGAGGCCCGAAAAAGCGATGACTCAACCAGATGACTCTGCTTCGCGGCAGACAAATACTAGACCCGTTTGGAAGGACGATTTGAGGGGCAATGGATTGCCCTTTTTGGCTGTACGTATCCTGACTTATTCCGTTTTACACTATTGACTGCTTAAGCTGATTTTAAAGGAACTAGCAAGTGATTTAGGACCCATTTATTTTCTACCTGGAGGCCCGGGTACAGTACCCCAATGGCTCGGATTTCGTACGAATCCGGGCATAATACTACCGAATTTGTTGAGACGTTTACCGAGGAGCTTGTCGATTTGGAGATTGAATTGACGCAAGAAGATAGGTGGGCGGAGCTAGAGGGGCTATAGACTACAGACTACAAGATATCTCAAAGCTGCAGAATCAATCCTAGAAATTAGGGACTGCAAAATAGGGTTGGACGACTACAAAATATACCGGACTACAGACTACTAAGCGTTTGAACATTTGAATTCGACGCGCTGTAACGTACTGTAAAGTACTGTAACGTATTGCAACTACTGTAACGTACTGGAACGTACTTTAACGTACTGTAACGGACTGTAACGGACTGTAACGGACTGGAACGTATTGTAACGTACTCTATACATTTTTTTGACGCAATTCTGATAGCTCCATTGAAAATAAAGGTCGTTTACCCCCAGATGCCGCCGGAAACGGGGAAACTACAGGCTACAAATCGACCTCCTGGGCCCTTGAAACCGCCCCCGTATTTCAGTGCGGAATGTGCGGATAGCTATGGTGGATTCTCGAGGTACAAGCATGAATTGGTCGAGATGGATGTAGAGATCAGGGAAGAAAGCGGGTACAGTACCTTTTAATCTTGTTCATCTTCTACCTTTAGCCCCTCTCTCGGCTGTACCAGCTATTTTGCAACAGACGCCCACCATGCCTGGGCACATTTTCGGGTCCCGCACCGAAAACTCGCCTATAGGGATGAATTTATCGAGCTGGAGGTCGAGGGGAATAGGGAGGAGAGGTACGGATTTCTTCATTTTTATGAGCTTTTTATGGTTGGCTTGGCTTTCCGCAATTTTCTTTGCTGGCTTGCTAGGCTTGTTTCGGCTTTGGAGTGCGCTTAAAGCTTAGCCTAACGTTCCCTGAACGGCTCGAAGACGCCTCGATGGCTGATAGAAGCCGGGTTAATTCCACCTAGCTAGCTGAACTTAGCTTAGGCTTAGGCTCCGGCTGAGCTTAGGCTTCGGCTTGGGCTCGGGCTTAGGCTTAGGCTTTAGTATTGGACTTGGGCTTAGGCTTAAACTCGACTTGGGCTTGGGCTTAGGTATATGCTTATGCTTACGCGTAGGCGTGGGTATGGGCTTAGGCTTACGCGTAGGCTTAAGCTTCTGTTTAGGCTTAGGCTTAAGCTACCTCGAGAACGCGCTTCCCAAAAAATCCTTGCTAGCTTGCTCATCTAGAAAATTTCAGCGAATTCGAGTGCACGGGCACTTGGGGCGTCGTGGCGGAGGCGTTCGGGTGGAGCCCCGCGTACGCTGGCGTTGAATTGATCGATTTGGATGTAAATTGTTCACAGGAGGCGAGGTGGGACCCCAATTCTGCAGTTTCGGGCTCCAAAAAAGCCTCGGCTTGCTTGCATTGAGCCCAAATTTGCCCCAAGGGTCACGTCTAGATACCGCATTTAAGTACATTCGACATTTCCCACACGATCCCCACCCTGGATACGGTATCCGCCCGGTTTTCCGCGTTCCTGAACAATCGATTCAACTCGGAAATGATTGATCTGGACGTCGATGTGGACCGGAAGTCGAGAAAGTCGGTTTTCGAGGCTTTTTGGTCCTTTTGCCGAGCTTGGGAGCACCATTTGTCCTC